CTCCTCTCTCCCTTTCTTTTTCTTTTGTTATAGGTGTCACTTTCCAAATCCAAGAATTTTGGATTTTGAACATGCTCATAGAGAACAAAACTGAAAATGAGCTGATCATTAGGAAACCTTTGCAAAATGGGTTCTCCATTGTTATCTTCCTTTCATCCCAAGACTGGCATAAAAGCTAATTTCAAATAGTCCTTTTGGTTTGAACTTATCTGGCCTTTGTAACCCAAACATTATTATTTTCACAATGCGCAGCCAATTTCCAGACTTCAATCCCAGATAATAGGGCAATGGTTAAAAAAAAAATGGAGGGGGGGGGAGACTTGGAGTCCATCTACACTGGTAGGGTCATTTTGGAGAGCATTGCCAAACAATGCACTCTGTGTTGGGTTATGAACTCTACTAGTTGTTTAAGGCGTCTATTCTTAAAAAGTAGGATTATTTTGATTCATCAACTCCTTTTCTTTTTAAGGTCAAGCCAATTATAATGGAGCAGCAGTGTGTTTTGTATTTTTAGCAAGCCCATCACCTGAAACACTGTGGTTTCGTTCTCGAAATATGCTAGTCTAATGATGTATAATATTTTTGAATTGTGGTTTTTAAATAACATGATGGAGTCAGTCAACTTTCATAAAGCAAGGCATGAAGCCAGGTCAAAAATTAAATATATATTTTTCTTTCATTTATATAATCGGTTAAACATTAAGTCCGACCAAGAGGTCCACTGTATAATTTCTTCCCTTCTGAGATCATAACATTTGCAGTATGATGGCAATTACTGGAGACCTTTGAGTGCTATACCAAGATTTTCAGGAGCCACCTGAGCCTTAAAGGAAGCTACAGCATATATTTCTTTGTTGAGTTGGGGGCTTGTATTAGATAGGGTAGGGTTCTCAACCATTTTAGAGGATGATGAAAATGGTGATGATGGATGGACCAGTGGTGGGATTCAGCCAGTTCGCACCTATTCGGTAGAACCGGTTGGTAACTTTCTAAGTAGTTCAGAAAACCGGTTGTTGGAAGAAATCTC